CCTTCGGACTATTGAACCTTCGGACTATCGCTACGGCCCCTTCAAACTAACAGAACCCACCCTGAGCTTCAGAGATAACTTGACACTAATCTCTTCACTGTAGCCTATCTTCATCGTGTCAAGTAAGATAGGCTACAGTGAAGAGGTTAGTGTCAAGTTATATCTGAAGCTCAGGGTGACAGAACCTAATAAGATATTTATAAAATACATGTAGTCTACAGGTCGAGTTCGAAAATCAGCTTGATCGGATCTTATTTTTATCAAAAGTTACGATGTTTTTTTCGCTATAAGCATTAAGCGGAAAACGTTTTTTTTTTTTTTTTTTTTTTTTTTTTTTTTGCAATAATCTCTTAAGAGATCTAAAGATTTTAAGAGATTACTATGTTTAGCCATCTGTGGTCACATGGTCATTTATTGTGAAATATAGATTTCATACGAAGAGTTGTTATCCCTTTAAAATCGATAGTGATAATGTAGTTAATAATTATGTAATAATACAACAAAACTGACACATTTTGTGCAGCTGCCACCTCTTGCTATTACAGGAAAACCACACTACTTTTTAATTTATAACTTACAAGAATGGTTCGTAAGATTGATATTCATCTCAAATTGGAAAACAAGTTGGATGGGAGTATTTATTTCTTGAATTTATGCAATTTGTTGTGAAATATTCATTAAAAAAAAAATTTGCCTTTTCAATGTGTCTCATGGGCCTAAAGCCATATTTGCTACTTAAATATACTCTTTTAAGATATTAAAATATCTGTATAACCTGTTGCGCATGATTAAAATTTGGTGTTAAGCATAATGTATTATTGCATTAAAATTGACAAAATAACCTCTGTCTGTACTTATGGCAGTTTTGCTGCTTTGTTTTGATTAATGCCTTTCATCAAAAAGATATCCACCGGGTTGACGGAGACCCTAAGTGAAATATTTGATAATGATAAACATGGATCCTTAGGGCACTCCTGAAGCCAAGTTATCTAGACTGATAATAGTGTAACTGATTTCAATATATCCTTCTGAAACATACGGTAAAACATTTTGTAAGTTATAGTTATTCATTTAAAGATGATATAAAACATCAGATTCAAGTGCAGGGAATGGTAGCACGATGGATTATGAGTAGGAAAAAATAACTTTTTTTCTGGGGGAAATTTAAATCATCCGTTTTGCTATCTCTCATCAGCGATTACGAATGATTTTATCTCCAAACCAAGCGCTCGCGAAAGTGACATTTTAAGTCAAGATAAATCTACGTGCCCAGCATATTTCTAATGTCGAATCACCTTTTGTACGCAGCAGATGTGTTGATAAAGCATTTCTTCTTCAGTAAGGGCCTGTAAGCCCCTCCCCCTTCATACGTCAACCCTGTCCATTTTTCCTTTAACACTAGTTTGCTGCTTCATATCCCGCATTTCTCTACATCAGAACGATTAACGCGGTCTAAATATAAAGTAGTCAGGCGAAATATAGATATTGCTAAGATGCCTGTATAGTTTAAAGGTGCAAAACTGGAGAAGTTGAACGGTTTTTCGCCATTTAAAAAGCTTTCAATATACTCTGCTTTTCAGTAGTTCCAAGAGTCTCAAATATTTTGCTGGCATCTTGTAATTTTCTTTTCTGCGTTCCTCCCCCCCCCCCCCCCCCAGTAATAATCAAACAGTAATAAAAGATTTGATGAAATTTTGTTCATATCATAGCGATTTAGAATGGCATACATGTGCATTTATTACGTAGCACATTTAATGTGAGGGTGAACACATTATTGTGTATTGTCATCTTGATGTCTGCATATTTCAATTCTTTATAAGTTATGATAAAAATTAAACGGTACAGACTGCAAAGTTTAGCTTTGTTAGCCGATTAATCGGACCTACAACCCTACATCTGAAGCAATATAAATTTGAATCGATTCTGAAGGAAAGTGTTTCAATTCTGATAATCACGGAAGTTCTTTTAAAAAACAGTATTTTCAAAAGATCTCACTTGTCATAATCATTATTTATATCATTGATTATTTTTCAGACATGGAAGTCCCCTCTCTTTCCTCATTAAGGAACTAATGCACATATTTCTAAAGTATCTCGGTATTAAATTATATAAATATTGCTCAACTATCGCGGATTAAAGCAAAAAAGACAGAGTTAAATGATTTGTTCTTATGTATGCTTTATTAATTCATTCCATTCATGTAACTTTTTGTACCAACAGAGGGTGCTTTCATAGGCAAAAACAAACATCATAACTTTTTAACCTGTTTGAAACTTAGTAAAGATACTGTCAGATCTACGTATCTATTATATCACGTGTTTGTTCTTAATCCCTACATTATCAAACACCAACTTTCCACCAAGTAGTAGACAGGAGAAAATCAATGATATTTATGCAATAAGTTTCAATTATCTCAAAAGTTCAGTGCACTAAATTAAAAAAAGGTGCACTTTTTAATCACCTTTTTAATTTTTGGTTCGACATCAAAGGCGCAGTCTTTTGTTACTTCTGCCACAACATCATTTGTGGGAACACATATTAAGTTGGATGACAAATTGCAAAGTTCATGTAATGTAGTGCTGAACAACAGCAAACAAGTAGGCGATTCGGTCATCGTTGACAAAGCGCACGTCTGCCGAAATCTGAAATGCGTAATTAATTGCGAATTTTTCAGCCACTTGGAGCAAACGCGCCCATGCCCACAAAGACACCAAAAGCACACATTGCAAATGCCCAATGACAAAAATGATTACCACCAGAAACCATGGAATGTCCATGTGCATCTTTTGTCGTTGTTTCAACATTGGATTCGAGAGGTTTCTCCACATTGGCGCAAGGATTTATTACATCGCGGAGAAGAGTAATTTGATAATTAACACTGCCAAACGAAATAAACATGGTATTCGTACGCAGCTCTATGTCAAGTTCATCTCGAAAAGATTCAAACATTTTAAGGCCTTCTCGATAATTCTTGATCTCTTCCTTCAGTCTCACCTGACTGGTGAGTACTGCTAGAACGCTAGAATTGTGCCATTCTTCGTCAGTGTCATTAGCTGATTGTTCGGCACAGTGGCTGAAACGGGGATTCAAGAACTTCCATCTCATACTCAGTATGGCAGAGAGGGATGGTGGAGGAGAAATTGTGAAACGCTCATAAATATCGCTTCTCAAAAACTGACAAACTCCACGAACTTGCGAAATATTAAGAGGACCATCGGAACTGAGTACCAGTTCCACAGGGAAATCCATATTGAAGATTGATAA